AGCTCAAGGCGAGCGCTCTACCACTTGAGCTACAGCGCCACTTCCAGTTTTCTGGTGGTTTATTGGAGATAGGAGTCTCACAGTCTCTCCTGCCTGGGCTGACTTTGAACCATGATCCTCAGATCTCAGCCTACTGAGTAGCTAGGATTAGCTCCCAGCTCTAACTTTAGTTTTCTACATGTGGTTAACCAATTTTACCAGCGCCATTTACTGAAGAGGCTGTCTTTCTTCCATTCATTTTTTTTTTTGGCTTCCCTATTGCAGATTAGGTGGCTATAGGTCTGTGGGTTCATTTCTGGGTCTTCAGTTCTATTCCATTGGTCCTCAGGTCTGTTCTTGTGCCAGTACCAAGCTGTTTTGATTACTATGGCTTTGTAGTAGAACTTGAAGTTTGGTGATCATATTCCTCCAGCACTGTTCTTTCTGCTAAGGATTGTTTTAGCTATTCAGGATCTTTTATTGTTCCATATGAATTTTTGGATTGCTTCTTCTATTTCATTAAAGAATGAGGTTGGGATATTGATGGGTATTGCATTGGATTTGTAGATACAGGTGAATATTTTACATCAGTGAATGAATTCAACAGATCTGGTGTGGTGGCGGGGGCGGGGAATGACAATGGACAAAGGATGGAAACTGCAGCTTGCATGGTTAACTTAGCTGTAGAAAAGTTAAAGCACAACCAGGTGCCAGGAGCTGAGATCTGAAGGTTGCGATTCAAAGCCAGCCCGGGCAAGAAGTCTGTGAGACTCATCTCCAATAAACCACTGGAAAACCGGAAGTGGTGCTGTGGCTTACCTTTAGCTGAGTACTCACCTTTAGCTGAAGAGCTGAGGGACAGTGTCTGGGCCCAGAGTTCAAGCCCCAGAACTGACAGAAAGAAAGAAAGAGAGACAGAAAGAAAGAGAGAGAAAGAAAGAAAAAAGAAAGACGAAAGAAAGAAAGAGAGAGAGAGAGAAAGAGAGAGAAAGAGAGAAAGAAAGAGAGAGAAAGAAAAAAGAAAGAAGAAAGAATGAAAGAAAGAAAGAGAAGAAAGAGAGAGAGAAAGAAAGAAAGAGAAAGAAAGAGAGAAAGAGAGAAAGAGAAAGAAAAAAGAAAGAAGAAAGAAAGAAAGAGAAAGAAAGAAAGAGAGAAAGAAAGAGAGAAAGAGAGAAAGAGAAAGAAAAAAGAAAGAAGAAAGAAAGAAAGAGAGAAAGAAAGAAAGAGAGAGAAAGAAAAAAGAAAGAAGAAAGAATGAAAGAAAGAAAGAAAAGATAAAGTGCCATTATTTTGTTGACTAGCCCACCTCCTACACAAGGTAACTGGCACTGAAGGCTTTCCTCTTTTCCAGCTTCACATTGCTGCAAGAGCCTGGTGCTTGCTAGCAACAGGCAAGCCAAACCCAGAGAAAGATTAAGGCTTCTGTGCTTTTGGAAAACACCCATGACAAACCCCCAACCCAGTTCTAGTCATTTCCACTGCAGACTCCTTTGAACTGGAAGAGGTGTTGGGGGCGGGGAGGGGGGAAGCAGAGACAGGAAATCAACCCCTGGAGATACTGTTTAGCAGTGCTTCGCACATGGCCAAACATATCCACAAACATATCTACTTAAAAAAGTCTCTACGAGGCAAGAGGTACATTCTTTGAGATGCCCTAGGTACCAAGCTGGAAATTTTCAAAGTTAGTTTAGGTGAAAAAACAAAACAAGGACTGGGAATGTGGCTCCGCAGTAGAGTGCTTGCTTAGCAGGCATGAAGGCCTCTGTTCAATTCCTCAGTACCACATACACCGAAAAGATGTGATTGCACCAGACCCAGGTAGGAGAGCTGGGGCAGGGCGAAGGTATTTGCCAGGAAAACCTGGGCCCCAGCACGAAGAGGGGAGCCGAGAAAGGCACCATGGAGGAGAGAGCACAGAGAGCTCTGGGAGCATTCTAAAACCAAGTCCCCACAGGGGGAAGACCTATGAATGAGAAAAGTAATTAACAGTGCAAGGCTCCCTGGTGGAAGGAAGGAGGTGCCAGGATGCCCTACTGCTTGCTTGAGGAAGGAGGCTTAGAAGTGAGTGAGGCAAAGAGGTGGAAGAGGGGGTCTCAGAACAAAATGTGAGACAAATCTGGAAAAGCAAGACTGGACGTTTGCTGACTAGGACCTATACATAGTGTGCATGCGCTGAGGGTCACGCATGGGGTCCGTGTGCATGCTCTGAGAGTCACGTGTGGGGTCCGTGTGCATACTCTGAGGGTCACGTGTGGGGTCTGTGTGCATGCTCTGAGGGTCACGCGTGGGGTCCGTGTGCATGCTCTGAGGGTCACGTGTGGGGTCCGTGTGCATGCTCTGAGGGTCACGCGTGGGGTCCGTGTGCATGCGCTGAGGGTCACGCGTGGGGTCCGTGTGCATGCTCTGAGGGTCATGTGTGGGGTCTGTGAGCATGCTGTGAGGGTCACGTGTGAGGTCTGTGAGCATGCTGTGAGGGTCACGTGTGGGGTCCGTGTGCATACTCTGAGGGTCACGTGTGGGGTCTGTGTGCATGCTCTGAGGGTCACGTGTGGGGTCCGTGTGCATGCTGTGAGGGTCACGTGTGGGGTCTGTGTGCATGCTCTGAGGGTCACGTGTGGGGTCCGTGTGCATGCTCTGAGGGTCACGCGTGGGGTCCGTGTGCATGCTCTGAGGGTCATGTGTGGGGTCTGTGTGCATGCTGTGAGGGTCACGCGTGGGGTCCGTGTGCATGCTCTGAGGGTCATGTGTGGGATCTGTGTGCATGCTGTGAGGGTCACGTGTGGGGTCTGTGTGCATGCTGTGAGGGTCACGTGTGGGGTCCGTGTGCATGCTGTGAGGGTCACGCGTGGGGTCCGTGTGCATGCTCTGAGGGTCACATGTGGGGTCTGTGTGCATGGTCTGAGGGTCACGCGTGGGGTCTGTGTGCATGCTCTGAGGATCACGCGTGGGGTCTGTGTGCATGCTCTGAGAGTCACGTGTGGGGTCTGTGTGCATGCTGTGAGGGTCACGCGTGGGGTCCGTGTGCATGCTGTGAGGATCACGCGTGGGGTCTGTGTGCATGCTCTGAGGATCACGCGTGGGGTCTGTGTGCATGCTGTGAGGGTCACGCGTGGGGTCTGTGTGCATGCTCTGAGGGTCACGTGTGGGGTCCGTGTGCATGCTGTGAGGGTCACGCGTGGGGTCCGTGTGCATGCTCTGAGGGTCATGTGTGGGATCTGTGTGCATGCTCTGAGGGTCACGTGTGGGGTCCGTGTGCATGCTCTGAGGGTCACGTGTGGGGTCCGTGTGCATGCTGTGAGGGTCACGTGTGGGGTCTGTGTGCATGCTCTGAGGGTCATGCGTGGGGTCTGTGTGAATGCTCTGAAGGTCACGTGTGAGGTCCGTGTGCATGCTCTGAGGATCACGCGTGGGGTCTGTGTACATGCTCTGAGGGTCACGTGTGGGGTCTGTGTGCATGCTCTGAGGGTCACGTGTGAGGTCTGTGTGCATGCTCTGAGGATCACGCGTGGGGTCTGTGTGCATGCTGTGAGGGTCACGTGTGGGGTCTGTGTGCATGCTCTGAGGGTCACGTGTGGGGTCCGTGTGCATGCTCTGAGGGTCATGCGTGGGGTCCATGTGCATGCTCTGAGGGTCACGTGTGGAGTCCGTGTGCATGCTCTGAGGGTCACGTGTGGAGTCCGTGTGCATGCTCTGAGGGTCATGCGTGGGGTCCATGTGCATGCTCTGAGGGTCATGTGTGGGGTCCGTGTGCATGCTCTGAGGGTCATGTGTGGGGTCTGTGTGCATGCTGTGAGGGTCATGCGTGGGGTCCATGTGCATGCTCTGAGGGTCATGCGTGGGGTCCGTGTGCATGGTCTGAGGGTCATGCGTGGGGTCTGTGTGCACCTGAGGGTCACACCTGATGGTCTACAGACATTATTAAAGTTTCACATGATGCTCTGTCAGAAGCACTATAGTGCTCTCTAAGGACAAGGGCTGATGTGGATGTTGGTGTTTCAATGGTGGACTCGGGGCTGAGTACACAGTAGCCTATGCCTGTAATTCCAGATTTGTGGGAGGCTGATGTAGGAGGATCATAGTCCAAGGCTTCCTTATCTCAAAAAGCAGAACAGAGCCGGGCGCTGGTGGCTCACACCTGTAATCCTAGCTACTCAGGAGGCTGAGATCTGAGGATCTCGGTTCAAAACCAGCCTGGGTAGGAGAGACCGTGAGACTCCTATCTCCAATAAACCACCAGAAAACGGAAGTGGCGCTGTAGCTCAAGTGGTAGAGCGCTCGCCTTGAGCTGAAGAGCTGAAGAGCTGAGGGACAGTGCCCAGGCCCAGAGTTCAAGCCCCACAACCGACCAAAAAAAAAAGCAGAACAGATTCTCTGTAACAGTCAACAGGGATTTTGATAGGAATTTTCTCATCCAACTGCAAAACAGTCAAGAAATGTGTGTCGACCAGCCATGGGAGGGGCACTGGATTATGTCTGGCTTGGTGGAATTGTGCAGGCCACAGTGAGACTGACAGAGCTGTCCACCTTTGGACAGACCTCAGAGCACAGGGACCCCACCCCAGATTTCCAGCTGGCTCATCCTGGTGTGAGTGTCCCATACACAAGCCACCCATTAGAATGGGGATAATTCTTCCTTCAATAAAAGTTATTTTGGGGGAGGAACATGTAGGGCCAGCCTCAAGGTGGCTAGAGATAGAAGGGATGGGGACTCCGGGAGGCCAAACTGGGCAGGTGTGGAGGGGCAGGTGGAGACAGAGCAGAGAGAGGCCAAGGCAGGGAGAGACATCTCTCTCGGAATCAGAGCTCAGGTTTGCTAAGCTCAGAGGTGAGGTGAACTGGGTTGAGTCCCAGGGCAAGCTAAGCCTCTCTACCCAGGGCCATACCCCAGGGCCAGATGCAGAGCCACCTAACCTTGCCACACCTGTTGGAGCAGAGTCTCCTAGAGCTCAGCCCCAGCCCAGAGCCGGGCGGTCGGGCCCCAGCCCCAGCAACAGTCTCTTTCTTGTCTCCTCTCACCACAGTGTCCCCACTTCAGCCCATTCGCTGATGAGCTCACCGACTACGTGACAAGGAACATCCTGGCCATGCCCACTATGAATGGCAAAGATGTCATGGCTGTTATCATGGCCGTGAATAAGCTCGATGGCCCGTGCTTCACCAGTGAAGATGAAGACGTGAGTGTCAGGAAGATGTCTGAGGTCTTCCCTGTGTACCAGCATTCCTGCGCTGTCTGTGTGTCGCTTTCTCCCTCTGTGCATCCATGCTTGTGCAAGCTGTGCATTGGTGAGCACAGTCCCGGTGCCCTCGCAGCCCGATGTGCAAGCCGAGCCTGTGATCCATGCCCTTTGAATTCTCACGCGAGAGTCTACACCCAAAGTGCTGAGCACCACCGCCTGGGTGTCTGAGCCCGCCTGTCTGTCTTCCAGCAACCTCAGGCAAGTCAGTAGCCGCAACAGCTGAAATCTGCAACTTCTGATTCCTGCTGTTACAATGTTTCTGTTCCAGATTTTCACAAAGTACCTGAATTTTGCCACATTAAATCTGAAGATCTACCACCTCAGTTACCTCCACAACTGTGAGACTCGCCGAGGCCAGGTACGTGTACACCCTACATGCACCCACACAGCGCACACTACACAGACCCTCACTCCAGAGACAGATCACCTGCCCCAGTCGGAGAACCAGCTTCTGTATGGAGCCCTGTTGGACGCCAAGGTCTGGGTGCTGGCAGTGTTCGTTGCTGCTGGGCTCACTTCTATGCCCTCTCATCTGACAAAAGAGGGTGCGTTCTGTGCATTAACTTGTGTGTACACTTATTTGTAAATATTCAAACAGCCATCTTTTCCTGCGTTCAGTTAGGCGTGTTGCCAACCCTACCACAACGACCTCACCTCCTCCTCTTCTTGGAATGCAAATCCCCCCGCAGAGACCCCTGACCCCCACCATCTACCACACATGTAGAATTTATGTCAGAACTGTCAGCCTGTACTCACATGGACACCACCTACACTGAGCAGAAAGTAGCAAGTATGCACTTCCCTTGCCTTCAGTCCTACAGACAGAACCCAACTCCCAAATTACACAAATAGACACCTTGCTTTATACCCCCGCAGTCAGGATTCTCTTAGTTTATACTACAGTTAGATTCTCTTTTTGGTCTGCATTCTTTCCTGGATTCCCCAACCACTAAATGAGGTGTATTTTTGCACACAGTAGGCTTCATTCTTTGTGCTGTAAAGTCTTCAAGGTCATGACAAATGCACAAAGGCCTACATTAACAACATCTTTATAAGCCTGGATCCTCAGAAGGCTGAGCGATGAGGATTACAGTTTGAAGCCAGTTTGGGCAGAAAAGTCCATAAGACTCTTATGTCCAATTAATCACCAAAAAAATGGAAGTTACTCAAGTGGTAGAGCACCAGACTTGGTTTTGTTTTTGTTTTTTTGGATCCGGTTGTGGGGCCTGAACTCTGGGCCTGGGCGCTGTCCCTCAGCTCTTCAGCTCAAGGCTAGCACTCTACCACTTGAGCCACAGCACCACTTCCGGCTTTTTTCTTTTTGCTTATGTGGTGCTGAGGAATCGAACCCAGGGCCTGATGCATGCAAGGCAAGCACTCTACCACTGAGCCACCTTCCCAGCCCGAGCACCAGACTTGGGAACAGTGCTCAGCCCAGAGTTCAAGGCCCAGTACCAGGATTCAAAAAAAAAAAAAAAAATTTAACTTTACAGAGTTGGGTATAGTAATGCCTGATTGCAGTCCAAGCACTTATGAGGCTAAAACAGAATAGAGTTTGAAGACTGAAGCTCCGCAAGGAGACCCGACCTCAAAACAGAATCTGGCCTCCTCACCGCCTCAAGAAAGCCTGGGGACCTCGAAGGTTTGCACCCAGCGTCCCCACCCGGAGCCACAGAGCTGCAGTCACACAGCACCCAGCCTCTTCCCAGCCTCTTTCACCTTTTGGTGGCGTGTTTGCTCGTTTCTTTTCCCTGCTGAATCGTATTCCACTGTCTGGATCTGCCAGTTTGCTTATTCCCCTGGTCAAGGACGTGGTCACTCCCAGTTGGGGCCACTGTGAATAATGCCCAACAAATCCCCACACGTGGGTTCTGCGCGCCCCGCTTCCAACTCAATTAGGGAATGCCAGGACCACAACTGATGAACAAATCCCCACACGCGGGTTCTGTGCGCCCCGCTTCCAACTCAATTAGGGGACACCAGGAGCAGGGCTGATGGACAACACTGTGTGACTGTGCTAGGCTTTGAAAGAAAGTGCCGGAAAGTGGCTGTGCTGTCTCACTCCCTCGGGAAGTGAGCATCACTGCGGCCCCATGCCCACACCTGCCCCGTATCCCCCCCACCAGCCCACCCCCGCCCGCCCCGTGCCCCCCCACCTGCCCCGTGCCCCCACCTGCCCCGTGCCCCCCCACCTGCCCCGTGCCCCCCCACCTGCCCCGTGCCCCCACCTGCCCCGTGCCCCCCCACCTGCCCCGTGCCCCCACCTGCCCCGTATCCCCCCCACCTGCCCCGTGCCCCCCCACCTGCCCCGTGCCACTCCACCTGCCCTGTGCGCCCCCACCTGCCCCGTGCGCCCCCACCTGCCCCGTGCCCCCAAACCTGCCCCGTGCCCCCCACCTGCCCCATGCCCCCCCACCTGCCCCATGCCCCCCCACCTGCCCCGTGCCCCCCCACCTGCCCCGTGCCCCCCCCACCTGCCCCGTGCCCCCACCTGCCCCGTGCCCCCCCGCCCGCCCCGTGCCCCCTCGCCCGCCCCGTGCCCCCGCCCGCCCAGTGCCCCCACCTGCCCCGTGCCCCCACCTGCCCCGTGCCCCCCCACCTGCCCCGTGCCCCCCCCACCTGCCCCGTGCCCCCCCGCCTGCCCCGTGCCCCCCCGCCTGCCCCGTGCCCCCCCGCCTGCCCCGTGCCCCCCCGCCCGCCCCGTGCCCCCCCGCCCGCCCCGTGCCCCCACCTGCCCCGTGCCCCCCCACCTGCCCCGTGCCCCCACCTGCCCCGTGCCCCCACCTGCCCCGTGCCCCCCCACCTGCCCCGTGCCCCCACCTGCCCCGTGCCCCCACCTGCCCCGTGCCCCCACCTGCCCCGTGCCCCCCCACCTGCCCCGTGCCCCCACCTGCCCCGTGCCCCCACCTGCCCCGTGCCCCCCACCTGCCCCGTGCCCCCCCCACCTGCCCCGTGCCCCCACCTGCCCCGTGCCCCCCCACCTGCCCCGTGCCCCCCCACCTGCCCCGTGCCCCCACCTGCCCCGTGCCCCCCCACCTGCCCCGTGCCCCCCCACCTGCCCCATGCCCCCCCGCCTGCCCCGTGCCCCCCCACCTGCCCCGTGCCCCCCCACCTGCCCCGTGCCCCCCCCACCTGCCCCGTGCCCCCCCGCCTGCCCCGTGCCCCCCCCGCCCGCCCCGTGCCCCCACCTGCCCCATGCCCCCCCACCTGCCCCGTGCCCCCACCTGCCCCGTGCCCCCCCACCTGCCCCGTGCCCCCCACCTGCCCCGTGCCCCCACCTGCCCCGTGCCCCCCCACCTGCCCCGTGCCCCCCCGCCTGCCCCGTGCCCCCCCGCCCGCCCCGTGCCCCCCCGCCCGCCCCGTGCCCCCACCTGCCCCGTGCCCCCACCTGCCCCGTGCCCCCCCACCCGCCCCGTGCCCCCACCCGCCCCGTGCCCCCCCACCTGCCCCGTGCCCCCCCCACCTGCCCCGTGCCCCCCCACCTGCCCCGTGCCCCCCCACCTGCCCCGTGCCCCCCCCACCTGCCCCGTGCCCCCCCGCCTGCCCCGTGCCCCCCCGCCTGCCCCGTGCCCCCACCTGCCCCCTGCCCCCCCACCTGCCCCGTGCCCCCACCTGCCCCGTGCCCCCACCTGCCCCGTGCCCCCCCGCCTGCCCCGTGCCCCCCCGCCTGCCCCGTGCCCCCCCGCCCGCCCCGTGCCCCCACCTGCCCCGTGCCCCCCCGCCCGCCCCGTGCCCCCCCGCCCGCCCCGTGCCCCCACCTGCCCCGTGCCCCCACCTGCCCCGTGCCCCCCCACCCGCCCCGTGCCCCCACCTGCCCCGTGCCCCCCCACCTGCCCCGTGCCCCCCACCTGCCCCGTGCCCCCACCTGCCCCGTGCCCCCACCTGCCCCGTGCCCCCCCACCTGCCCCGTGCCCCCACCTGCCCCGTGCCCCCACCTGCCCCGTGCCCCCCCACCTGCCCCCTGCCCCCCCACCTGCCCCGTGCCCCCACCTGCCCCGTGCCCCCACCTGCCCCGTGCCCCCACCTGCCCCGTGCCCCCCCACCTGCCCCGTGCCCCCCACCTGCCCCGTGCCCCCACCTGCCCCGTGCCCCCACCTGCCCCGTGCCCCCCCACCTGCCCCGTGCCCCCCCACCTGCCCCGTGCCCCCACCTGCCCCGTGCCCCCCCACCTGCCCCGTGCCCCCCCACCTGCCCCGTGCCCCCACCTGCCCCGTGCCCCCACCTGCTGTGGGTGGTGCCTTCACTCCTATGGTCTCAGTGGGTGTACAGTGCTGCACACACCACGCTCCTGGTCTCAGTGGGTGTACAGTGCTGCACACACCACGCTCCTGGTCTCAGTGGGTGTACAGTGCTGCACACACCACGCTCCTGGTCTCAGTGGGTGTACAGTGCTGCACACACCACGCTCCTGGTCTCAGTGGGTGTACAGTGCCGCAGACCCCACGCTCCTGGTCTCAGTGGGTGTACAGTGCCACACACACCACGCTCCTGGTCTCAGTGGGTGTACAGTGCTGCGCATCTCCGTTTACATCAGCACCCTGTGCAGGTCTTGTCTGTCCTCAAAAATGGGTTGTTGGCGTCTTATTTTTCAGGGTTTTTTTTTTTATTGTTTGGTGGTAGTAGTGGGTGTGAGTGGGTGTGCAAGCATGTGCACATGTGTGAATGTGCACACGTGTGTGTGTAGGTCCTGGAGCACTTAAGTAGCATTCTACTGTGTGAGCTACAAGGTTAGCATGCTCGCCTTGATCTGAAGAGCACAGGGACAGCACCCAAGCCCAGAGTCCAAGCTCCATGACCAGAAGAAAAAAAAGAATGTGCCACGACTGTTTGAGTCACAATTTCACTTCCAGCTTTTTGCTAACTAATTGGAGATAAGTGTCTCATGTGCTTTCCTGCCCGGGCTGGCTTTGAACTGTGATCCTCAGATCTCAGCCTCCTGAGTAGTTACAACTACAGGTGTGAGCCACAAGTGGGTGGCTTACTTTTTAGTTTTAAGGGTTAGTAGTTCACTTGTAGTGTGTGCATATTTGGTCAGGTATGTGTTTTACAAGCATTTTCTCACAAGCTGTGGCTTGTCTTTTATTTTCTTCAGAGTATCTCTGGCACAACAGATTGGTTGGTTGGTTGGTTGAATCCAGGGCCTATCATTTGTTTGTCATGTTATCTACCACTTGAGCTACATCCCTAGTTCCTTTGCCGTTAGCTTGTCTCTCAGGGTGGCTCCTGTAGATTTGCCTAGGGCCAGCCTCCGTCCACCATCCGACCTCTACCTCTTGAGTAGGTGGGGTGCACAGTTTTAAATTTAAATAAAGTCTTTCTTGCCATATTTTTTCCTCATGGATTATACTTTGTGTTGTA